TGTGGAGTTTAAAATATTTTGAAGTGAGAGGATGCCGTTTTTCATGAGTTCAAGTGTCAATACTTTAAAATTTGTAGATAACTATTCTAGCAGCGTTTATTAAGGATGCTACCCTTGTCCTCTGATTTAAAACGTACTGGTACATTGGGGCGCCCGGGTGGCTCAGTCGGTTAGGCGTCCAGCTTCAGCTCAGGTCATGATCTCACGGTCCGTGAGTTCGAGCCCCGGTCAGGCTCTGTGCTGTCAGTTCAGAGCCTGGAGCCTGCTTCCGATTCTGTGTCTCCCTCTCTCTGTGCCCCTCCCCCACTCATGCTCCCTCGTATCAAAAAATGAATAAACGTTAAAAAAAATTTTTTTCAAATTAAAAAAAATAAAATATACTGGCACGTTACATTAAAAGCTAATATTTAATTAGATTGTCTACTTATTTAAATACTTATTTTTGAGAGAGAGAGAGAGAGGGAGCACAGGAAGGGGAGGGGCAGAGAAAGAGGGAGAGAGAGAACTCCAAGCAGCCTCTGCGCTGTCAGCTCAGAGCCCAATGCGGGGCTCGAACTCACGAACCACGAGATCTTGCCCTGAGCCAAGATCAAGAGTGGGGCCCTCAACCGACTGAGCGACCCCGGTGCCCCAGGTTGTGTATTTTTCAGATCACATTGACTGGGGTTTACTTTGCGTTCAGTGAGCTTGATTAGTTCTGGCAAACACAGTGCACACCGTGTCCCCGGTACCATTGGCTCAGAAGCTCCTGTGTCCCGTCCAGTCCCCACCTCAGCACTCAGCTGCCCTGCCTTCTGTGGCTGGAGATCAGCCTCACCTAGAGTTTCGTGTAAATGGAAGCACGCAGCCAGGAGGCTTTGGTTCCTCTGCTCTGTGTTTACCGTGGGTGTAGACGAGCATGTGTGGTTTGATCCGCTGGGCCTCTGCCTGGTACCCTGCTGTGAGGATGGGTCGGCTTTGGTCGCCATCTGCCAGTTGAAGACATTCAGACATCCCAGGTTTGGGTGCTTGGGCCTTTCTAGGACCAGCCCTGTGTGGATGTGTCTTTCCTTCTTCCTGCTTAGACTCCTCCTTAGACTCCCTCCTGGGAGAGGAGTGGCCCTCGCTTCTCGAGGTGACGGCATGTTTGATTGTAAGACCTGGCCGACTTGCCCACCTGCTTCCC